AGATGCACACACAAATACACGGATATGGTAAGACATTGTAGAGGGTTCAGTCGCCGGTTTAGGGGTTCCAGCTAAAATGGCTTGGGCCAAAGAGTGGCTGCGGATGCCAATCGCTAGCCTTCGAGCCCATCGTTTTGTTATTCGCGATAGCGCCCGTAACCAGCCCCGCCACGCCTCCCGGTGGTCACGTCACGGTCCGCGCTGGCGCCGTCTGAAAATCAGCCAGTCTTGGGCATTCCCAGACGGCCGGGCGCGAATCGTGACGTGACCGCCCCCCGTCACATCTGGTCACGACCGTTATCGCCAGGTGATGCAAGTCGGTCTCTTCTCGCTCAGATTCTGGGACAGTAAGATGCAGAAGAAAACAGAGGCGGACGCCACTTCCGTAGGTCGATGAGACCCCCCAGTACACCACTGCTTTCGGGTAGAAGGCAACGGATATCGCAGGTGGCCAACGCCCCCATCCGTAGCACAAGCACCTACCGTACATCGACAAAAGATTGCTCCACTTGCGCCATGCATTGGCACCTGAATTACATTTCCCCCCGGTCTCAATCTTGGACGCATGGCGAAAAGCCTTTGAGGCACATGCGGGATCCCGACATAATGTTTCACCACCTACCTGTTCCGACTGACCCAGACTGAGCCCCAAATGAAAATCGAGGGAGTGCCCTCGAGGCACGAGTTGGAGTCTCCACAGGTCCCTTGTTGGATCCGCTGGAGCCCCAGTCCTCAATCCTGAGGATAATTTAAGGGGGCCCAGACCCAAACTTGCCAAATAATTCTGGAACTCCTCGCGTCCTCTCGCGTGACTTTCGGGCCCAAGAGGGTCCCAAGACAGCCCCAACAGGCCCCAAAGATGGCCTAAGAGGTCCCCGAGTCGCCGAAGGATGGCTCCAAGAAGCCCAAGATGGCTTCAAGACCGCTCACGATGCCCCGAAGACGCCCGACGAGGCCTCCGAGAGGCCTCCCGAGAGGCCACCACGAGGCACAAGCACTCGATGTGCCTTACGTGCTCCAAGGATTCGGGCGGTCTCGCCCACCCGGCCTCCCGACGCTCCAGGGCGGCCCACGAGGCCCCAACGGTCGCCCCAGGACGGCCCAAGAGGCCTCCACGAGGGCCCCAAAACGGCCCACGAGGGCCTCAAGACGGCCCAAGAGACCCCCAGGACTGCCCAAGAGGCCCCCAGGACGGTTGCCAGAGGGGGGCCCCGACGGGGGACCTGCACGGACATTTCGAGCCCTCGGCCCCGCGAGGCCCCCAGGAGGCCCCAAGAAGCCCCCAAGAAGCCCCCAAGAGGCCTCCAAGAAGCCCCCAGGAGGCCCCCAGGAGGCCCTAAGAGGCCCCGAGCGGCTCCCGAGGGGCTCTCAAGTGGCCCCCAATAGGCTCCCAGGAGGCCCAAAACTGTCCCCAAGAAAGAGGGCCCCAGCAGCGCTCCGAAAAGACCCCAAGAAGCATCCCTGAGGATTCTGATCCACAACCCAGACACGGTGGCGGGGTGGGCCGACGGCCAGTAGATACAAAAACGGTGCGCGCTACTGTCCGCACCAGGTGGCGCAACATGTCGTCGATGCACCGTAGGGGCCCAGAAACGCAGCTTGCGGCCTCATTGAAGGTGTCTTTGTAGACCATGGACGCATGCATTCGAAAAGACGCCACCTGCATCACACCCTGAATTGAGATAGAGTGCGCTGGCAGTGCGCCACGTGACTGATATTGCTACTTCAAATCACCATGATAGGGAGCAACGTGTAGCGCGTAGCTGCTTCTTTTGGTACCTACGATCCCCGAGACGTGGAACTCCTGCAGTTAGACGTTCGCGCTTCTCGCGGAACGATGCTGAACAAGTGGGCTCCCGTGTGTCTGGGTGTATGCTGTTTGCGCCGGTTTGAGTCGCCTCATCCACTTCTTCCGTTCCTTCCTTGCTTCTCGCCTCCGCCTCCTCGTGTGTGAGTGCGTGCGTCTGGCGGATGCAGTGACGCCACTTTGCCGCTGGATTTGCCGAGCGCGTGAGATAATACTACCGCCAGAAAATAAAGGTCGGGGGTATGGCGGGGATACTCAACGATCTTCTCAGGGAAAGCGATGTTAGTTATAAGTTATGATGGTGATGGCGATGATCATGATGATGGTGACCCCGGGCGCTCGTGTAGACTGACCTTGTAGATCGTGGCACCGTGTGAGGGATGCGCTAAAAAGCAATTAACCCCAATGCTCTGCCTGCTCGAAAAACGCATGCAACATCAAAACCCAATCGGTCCCCATGGCCCTGCCAGACGTTCCTGACTAGGGAACGGCTGAGACAGTGAGAATCCCATGGCCCTGCCGCCCGTTCGTGACTTGGGCAAACTGAACTGGTGAGAATCCCACAGCCCTGCCACACGCTCGTGATTTCAGAAGCTGATAGGGTGAGACCACCATGGCCATGCTCAGCGGTTCTGATGCTGTTGCTAGTCGATATGAGATGATAGCAACTTCGATTCGCAACGTCCCCCGTGTATTATCAAGTTCGGCCTCCGCGCCCCTCTCCACAATGAAATCCTATTGAACCGGGATAATAAGAATAGAGGGGGTGAAATGGGGGTATGATTTATTATCCGCCGCACGCGGTTACAAGTGTGTTTGGAGGACGTCCCTCGGTTGTGTGAGTCACCTCTGGAGCCCCCTGTGCGCTTTCGCCGATGGGTTTCTCTCTTCCCCGAGCTCGGCGCCTGCTCCCCCTCCCCTGTGGACCCGTGCCCCCGCGGAGCTCAGGATGCGTCCCCGGCAGGAAGGGCGCCCTCGACCGCGTGGAGGGCCCGCCGGCTGCGGTGCTCCCCCCCCACGGCCCGCGGCCGCCAAAGGTCGTGCGCCCTGCTCTCTCGCGGACAACCGAACCAAAGCCAACCCTCCTCCGCCTTTCCTCCCCCCTCCTCCTCCCTCCTCCTCCTCCTCCTCCTCCTCCTCCTCCTCCTCCTCCTCCTCCTCCTCCTCCTCCTGGCACCACATAAGACGAAGCTAGGACGAGGATGAAATTGGACGAGGACACATCGGGAATCTCTGAGATCTGGCGGTTCTGGGGGATGTCTCGGGCGCCGCAATCTTCTCAGAGCGTTCCGGAACGCTCTGAGAGCGATCCAGAACGCTCTGGACTGGATCTATCCTCGTCATAGCCCCGCCCGACCACATCCCCCTCCCCTCCTCACGGACGAGGCCCTCCACCGCCTTTCCCCACATCCCTCTCCTCTCTTCCCCCCTCATCCCAACCGTCCCTCCCACCTCCCGGGGGCGTCGAAGACGGGGGCGTCCCAGAAAGGGTGCCGCACATCATGACCCGAGGCCCGTGCGCGGACGAGGGGTGGACCAGGGGACGGGTTTGAAGGAAGAAGCGGAGGCCAGGAGACCTGGGGAGACATCATGGCCGGCGCCATGATATCCCGCCCCCCCCGGGCATCGCCCCCCTCTTGGACGCCCCCGACCCGACCAGGCGGGTGGCCTCTCAGAAATCATCCGGGCTTCGACGAGAACCTTCTCCACTCCTTCTCGGAAGCCCCCCCGCCTTGCTTGTGCGCGCCACGAATATGATACATATGGCCACTCGAGGCTTGCTACAGCTCCCCTACTGCCACCGACGCTGCAGAACCTTGGGCGTGCAGGTCTGCGCTCTGCGCCAGGAGGGACAGTCGCTGGACACACGCTTCCGGCACCGCCTCTGCGTCCGAGTGGTCATCCGCCCCCAGCAAGCCTCCGACAGCAGACCCCGCTCGCCCCAGGTGTCTGACGTAGAAGTTCAGGTACGGGATGCCTTGCTGCGTGCGTCCATGAACGATTTTCAGCTCGATCAAGCCAAAACGATCCCATTCTGCAGTCGCGTTGACAGCACTCTGCGAGGCGTAGTGAAGCCCTCCTGTTTGCTTCGCCTCTGCCCATGCCCCTGTGACGTTCAGGCTCTGGAAGTACATATCCGAGCATTGCCCACCCAGTCGGCGTGCCTCAGCCTCCACACGAAGCAATGTGCTCTTGTCGGGCTCCCCGCGGGGAATGTGTATCAGAACATGCCTGCCAGGCTTCATCACGTCGAATCGCTCACCATAAATGTTCTGCAGATGGGGATCGCCAGTGGCAGCAATCGCGCCCGAGGAAGGGCTAGCGGAAGCCGACGACGTCGGGCTGGGCACAGCGGCGCAGATTAATGAAGCGCTGGGAAGAGTGCTTGCGGAGTACCAGTACCAACTGTTGCCCCATTCGCCCCACCCGCCGTCCCATTTTGCACAACTGCCGCCGTAGTCGCTGGAAGCCCAGGGGCCGGGAGTGAGCCCCAGCGCACTGCCAGCTGCGTCACACTCTGAAGTGGACGAGATCGCGGCGTATCCAAGTGGGCATGACCCGAGTGCCGTAATATATGTATCCTGGGAGTCGTGCGCGCGACGATAGATCGCCTGCACCTGCGCCCCGAGCGCGAGATATGCAAACACAAATACATGGATGTGGTAAGACATTGTAGAGGGTTCCAGAGGGTTCAGTCGCCGGTTTGGGGGTTCCAGCTAAAATGGCTTGGGCCAAAGAATGGCTGAGCCCGCAAATCGCTTGCCATCTCGCCAATACGTAATGAGGGACGGGGGGGAGAGGACGACCGATGAGGACGAGCAGGAGACGAGGACGACGTGCCACCGTGTGTCCCAGAAGATGCGCATACGACACATTTGACGTCTGCAATTCTTTCAAACAATGCCGACTAAGTGCTCTGTTTCTCCGGGTGTCAGCGACTAGTGTTGTTTTGAGGATCCTCATGCCCAACCCCATCCTCCGCCTCGTCGTCCTCACCTTCCTCTTCCTACCAACCCTCCTACCTTCTCCCTACGTCATCCTCTTCTCTCGCCCCCACCCTCTCCTCATTCCCCTCCTCCATGCTCGCCTCCCCCCTCCCCCTCCTGTCCCTGGCAACTAGGCCGCACCGTCACACCCTGGACTAGCACTGGACTCTGATGAGCGCGCACAGGCTTTCGGTGCCTGGGGCGGCCAACAATATGACTGATACCCTGTCTTTTATCACGAGTGCACGTTAGGTCTGGCCGTCCGAGTCTAGCTAGAGATCTGCTACTGCTACCGATGATGAAGAGCCATGGCTGTGCAAGTCTGCATTCTGCGCCAGGAGAGACAGTCGCTGGACACACGCTTCTGGGACCGCTTCTGCGTCCGAATGGTCATCTGCCCCCAGCAAGCCTCCTACAACAAACCCCGCTCGACCCAAATGTCTGACGTAGAAGTTCAGATACAGGATGCCTTGCTGCGTACGTCCATGAACAACTTTTAGGTCAACCTGTCCAAAACTATCCCAGTCTGCAGTCAAGTTGACATCACTTTGCGAGTCGTAATGGAGCCCTCCCGGTTGCTTCGCATCTGCCCACGCCCCTGTGACGTTCAAGCTTTGGAAGTACATATCCGAGCATTGCCCACCCAATCGGCGTGCCTCAGCCTCCACACGAAGCAATGTGCTCTTGTCGGGCTCCCCGCGGGGGATGTGTATCAAAACATGCCTGCCAGGCTTCATCACGTCGAACCGCTCACCATAAATGTTCTGCAGATGGGGATCGCCGGTGGCAGCAATCGCACCCGCGGCGGTAGGGCTGGCAGAAGCCGACGACGTCGGGCTGGGCACAGCGGCACAGATGATTGACGAGGTGGGCATGATGCTCGCGGAGCCCGCCACCGTGCCTGCGAGGCACGAGTTGGCGTGTCCTCAGGTTCATTGCTCAATCTCCTGAGCCCACTCAGTCCCGAGTCCTGAGGATCTTTCACAAGGCCCCGACCCAAAATTCTCACATCTCCTGGGGCTCCCGGCGCGCCAGGCGCGCCTCCCCGCAGGAATTGCTCCTTACATCGGGCCCAAAAACCCGAAAGACGGGCGAAGAGGGCCCCAAGAGGGCTCCCAGACGGTCCAAGAGGCCCTCGAGTCGCCGAACGATCGCTCCAAGGCGCGGTGGCGGGATGGGACGAAGGCCACTAGATCCGCCGCCCCCTGCTTGCAGGGGTGCACGGCGTGCTGGATGTTTCAGGTTTTGGTTTTGGTTCTTTTCCAAAAGAACTCTCCAGTGGGCTCCGGCCCGTCCCGCCGGGGTCCCGGGAGGAAGCCGAAAACACCTCAATCCGGAAAAAAATCCTCCAAAAACGGCCGTTTCGCTCGGGACATCCTCAAAAAATCGCGAAGATGGCCCAAGATGGCCTCCAAGTCCGCCCGAGATGGTCCAAGACGGCCTCCAAAACGGCCCAAGAGAGTCCAAGACGGCCCAAGACGGCCCAAGAGGCCCCCCAGAGGCCTCCCAGACGGCCCAAGAGGCCTCCAAGAGGTCCTCCAGGAGAGTCCGAAGAGGCCAAAATCATTGATTTTCCCTTGGTTTTTGAAGGATTTTGGCATTTGCGCCTTTTCGGCTCTCCGACGGCTCAAGACGGCCCAAGAAGCCCCCAAGATCGCCCAAGAGGCCCCCAAGAGAGCCCCCTGATGGCCCAAGTGGCCTCCAAGATGGCCCCTAGAGGGCCCCAAGAGGCCCAAGAGGCCTCCAACACGCCCAAGATGGCCTCCAAGACGCCCAAGATGGCCTCCAAGACGGCCCTGGAGCGCCCCAAGAGGGTCCCCCGTTGGCCCAGAAAGGCCCCCAAAACGGCTCCCGACGGCGTCAGACGTGCCAGGAACCCACCAAGATGGCCGAAGTTGGCTCGAAGCTGGCCCAAAAGGGCCCAAGAGGCCCCCAAGAGGCCTCCAGGAAGGCCAAAAGATGCCAAAATCACTGATTTTCCCAAGGTTTTTGCTGGATTTGGGCATTTCCCTTTTTTCGGCCTTCCGACGGCCCGAGACGGCCCAAGAGCCCCCAAAGATCGCCGAAAGATCGCCCAAGAGGCCTCCAAGACGGCGACGATGACCATCAAGACGCCCACGTGTTCCCCGAAGGTTTTCCAAACCGATTCGGGGAACACATGGTCCGATGGCTTGGCAGGTCTGGCCTCAACGTTCGGCCACATAGGCGCTTCCACAAAGGCAGGGGGCGGCGGTGATTCGCCGTAGGCGTCTTCGATCCGCCGCCCCCTGTGGTCTTGCCATCGGCACAACGCGCGGGCTACCTGGAAGGGACCGCAAACAACCTCGCACGGAAAGACTCCCCCAAGGCAGCTTGATATGGTCCCCAAGTTCGCCCAGGATGGTCCAAGATGGCCTCCAAGACGACCCAAGAGGGTCCAAGATGCCTCCAAGTCCGTCCACGCCCAAGAAGCCATCAAGACGGCCCGAAGTGCGTCCAAGATGGCCCAAGAGGCCCCAGAGCGGCCTCCAAGACGGCCCGAGAGGCCTCGAAGAGGTCCTCCAGGAAAGCCCGACAAGGCCAAAATTATTGATTCCCCTCTAGGTTTTCAACGGATTAGGGCGTTTGCTTCTTTCCGGCCTTCCGAATGCCCAAGACGGCCCGAAGCCTCCAAGATCGCCCCCAGAGCGCCCAAGATGTCTCCACGATGGCCCCAGGACTGCCCAATAGGCCTCCAAGACGGCCCATAGGGGGCCCAAGACTGCCCAAGAGGCCTCCATGACGCCCAAGTTGGCCTCCAAGACGACCCTGAAGTACCCCAAGAGACGTCTAAGACGGCTCCCGACGACGTCAGACGACCCAGGAACGCCCCAAGACGGCCAAAGAGACCCCGAACAAGCCCCCAAAAAGGCCCCCAAGAGGCCCAAGGAGACCCCAAAAGGCTTCCAAGAGGCTCCCCGGAAACCCCCAGGAGGTCCCAAGGGTGCCCCAAGAGGCTCCCAAGAGGTCTCCTCCTCCTCCTCCTCCTCCTCCTCCTCCTCCTCCTCCTCCTCCTCCTCCTCCTCATCCTCATCCTCATCCTCATCCTCATCCTCTTCCTTCCTTCCTTCTCCTCCTCCTCCTCCTGCTCCTCCTCTTCCTCCTTCCTCCTCCTCCTCCTCCTCCTCCTCCTCCTCCTCCTCCTCCTCCTCCTTCCTTCTCCTCCTCCTCCTCCTCCTCCTCCTCCTCCTCCTCCTTCTCCTCCTCCTCCTCCTCCTCCTCCTCCTCCTCCTCCTCCTCCTCCTCCTCCTACTACTTCCCTACTTCTCCTCATTATCCTCTTCCTCACGTGTTCCCTGAAGGGTTTCAACGACGGCTGGAGGAACACATGGTCCGATAGCTTGGCACAGCTCTGGCCCAACTTTCGGCCACTTAGGCGCTTCCAAAAAAGGCAGGGGGCAGCGGTGATTCGCCGTAGGCGTCTTCGATCTGCCGCCCCCTGTCGACTTGCCACAATCGGGGGCGTGCAAACATGGATTAGCGATCCGTGGATTTGGCGCGCGGTTGCCAAATCCATGGATCGGGAGCGATTCCCCACGGAAACGGGACCCGTCGCTAATCCCAGACCCCCGACGTCGTGATTTTTTCACAACGTCGACCCCCAGAACTCTGGACCTCTTCCCCGGGACCCGTTTTTCGTCCTGAATCGCTTTTTGACGGTCCCGAGGCCTGGGAAGGGCCCCCGGAGGCCGAAAATGATGAAAAACCTGCCGTCGCATTTTTTTCACAACGCGAGGAGGTCTGGGATCCACGCCCCCTTGATCCATGTTTGCGATCGCCCGAAGCAAGGGTGAACGGCATGCTAGACGCCTGGTTGCACTCGGTTCTTTAAAGAGCTCACCCTGGGGCTGCGGCCCCTTGCGCCGGCCACCCGGGATGCTTGCCCGAAGGTGGCTGGAAAGGATTCCTTTGCTCCAGATGGGTCCAGGATGGCCCAAGACGGCCTCCCAAACGGCCAAGATGGCCTCCAAGTTCGCCTAAGGTGATCCAAAATGGCTCCCAGACAGCCCAACGAGGATCCAAGATGCCTCCGAGTCTGCCCAAGAAGCCTCCAAGACAGCCCAAGACGGCCCAAGAGGCCCCCAACAGGCCTCCAAGACGGCTCAAGAGGCCTCCAAGAAGTCCTCCAAGGGGGCCCGAAAAGGCCAAACTCATTGATGTCCCTTAGGTCGCTGAAGGATTTGGGCGTTTTCTTCTATTCGGCAAGCTGACTGCCGAACACGGCCCAAGAGGCCCCCAAGATCGCCCCAAGATGGCCCCAAAGGCCTCCAGGACGGCCTCAAGACAGCCCAAGAGGCCTCCAAGACGCCCAAGATGGCCTCCAAGACGGCCCTGACGTACCACAAGAGGGCCTCAAGTCGGCTCAGACGGCTTCCGCCGGCGTCAGATGGGCCAGGAACGCACTCAGACGGCCAAAGCGGCCCCGAACAAGCCCTCGAAGGCTCCCAAGGAGGCCCCCGAGAGGCCTCCAAGAGGCCTCCAGGAAGCTCCGGCCCAAGAGTGCCCCTAGAGGATTCCAAGAGGCGTCCTCCTCCTCCTCCTCCTCCTTCTCCTCCTCCTCCTCCTCCTCCTCCTCCTCCTCTTCCTTCTCCTGCTCCCTTTTCCTTCTTCCTTCTTATCCACATTCTCCCCTTCCTCACGTTTTCCCCAACTGGTTTTAACGGCGGCTGGAGGAACACATGGCCCGATCATTCCAGCCCAGCTTCCGGCCACATTGGCGATTCCGAAGAGACAGGGGGCGGCTGTGATCTGTGGTTTGCCACAGGTGCGCACGGCGTACCAGACGTTAGCCAGGTAGTTTCTGGTTCCTTGTAAATTTTGATGGGCTTGTTTTCCACCGCCACCACCACCACCACCATAAGTTGGAGGGGGAGGGGGTCCTCCTCCTCCTCCTCCTCCTCCTCCTCCTCCTCCTCCTCCTCCTCCTCCTGCTCCTCATCCAACGTATGGTGGTGGGGGTGGAAAGCATGCACATCAAAGGTTCTAATGGAAATTCGGCCCAACCCGCTGGCCACCCGGAGTGCCGCGCAAAGACCCGCGAGGACCCTGAAGGAGTGGACATGACCGTGACAATGTGCCCAACTCCTGCGCAACGTGTGGCCAGAAGAGCTGCAAAGAATCTACACGGGGGGTGACAACGTGGCGAGGACCTGTATTCGTTTTCGAACGCTACTTGGGAGGCTCGCCGAGCTGCGCTGCTCGCAGGGCACCGGTCGATGGACAAGGGCGGAGGTGATTAGTTACTTCCTTTGCCCGAAAGGACAGAGAACTGCCCCCCAACCCACCCACCCAACCACCCAGCAGTCCTGGAAAGTGGCAGCTCTTTCCCAGATCGCACCCGCAAGGGGAACGGCGAGGTCTAATCTAGGTCCGTGGCAGGAACCCACCATGCTGCCCCCCCCCCCCCCAAAGCAGCCCTCGATCTGAGCCTGGGTAGGGCCCGCACTACGCTGCTTCCCCACAGCAAGCCCTCGAAAATGGCGACAATTTCGCAGATCATATACACTCAGGGATGGTGAGGTCTGGTCTGAATCTGGGTAGGGCTCCCGCTAGGCTGCCCCCCAGCAACCCTCGAAATTGGCGACAGCTTCGACGCGACAGCCCGACAGGGAGCGCGAGGTCTAATATGGATCCGCATATGGCGCCACTATGCTGGCCCTCTCAGGAGCCCTCGAAAGTGGCGCAGATCGCAGCCCCCCCAGGGATGGCCAGGTCGAATCTGAGTCCAAGTATGGCGTCACTGTGTTGCCCCCCGCAGCAGCCCTCGAAAGCGGCGACAAGCTCGCAGATCGCAGCCCCCCCCGTGGATGGCGAGGTCTAAGCCTAATCAGCGTATGGCGTCACTGTGCTGGCCCCCCCGCTCCCTCCCAACAGCCCTTGAAAGTGGCGACGGTTTCGCAGATCGCAGCCCCCCAGGGATAACGAGGTCAACTTTGAATCCACGTATGGCGTCACTGTGCTGCCCCCCACAGCAGCCCTCGAAAGTGGCGACGGATGGCGAGGTCTAATCCGAATCAGCGTATGGCGTCACTGTGTTGCCCCCCACGACAGCCCTCCAAAGTGGCGACGGTTTCGCACATCGCAGCCCCCCAAGGGATGGCGAGGTCGAATCTGAGTCCAAGTATGGGATGGCCAGGTCTAATCTGAGTCCGCGTGTGGCGTCGCTGTGCT